ACAACATCCCTGCGAGGGAGGTCTAGTCTCCTCCAGGCAGCCACATCCTAGCATGGTTGTTACGTTGCCAGAGTTGTAATTACTACATTTGTAGATGTTAAATCAGGGATTCAATAGTTTTGTCAGTGAAGAATGAGAAGCATGTGAGGTGAAATATTTCAGTAGAAGATAATGAAACACACTGAAGTTATAGAAATGCATAAATGGATTAATTAATTTTTTTTTTAATAAGGAGGAAGAGTGTTAGTTTATTATTTTTGCAATTTCAATAAGAAAAGTATATCAATCTTATTTTTTTTTTGGAAAAATCAAAAAGAGTCCAAAGTTCTTATGTTGCACCATCTCTGAACGGAGTGCCCAATTGTATATGTACTTGATGCTCCTTTACATCCCTTTGCATGAAAGTAATCAATCTCACATCAAAGTAATAAATGGAACATCTCTGCAGTTCACGTTAGAAGCTCCTAACCCAAATATATCTTCCCAGGGAAAATAAAGCACTGGCTCAGTTATATATTCTCAAATTGGACAATTGTCCCTTCAAAAAAACTTTTTCCAGAGTAGCTAAGAATGTCATCTCAATCATAAACCTCTGAGAAGGCCAAGGGATGATAGTAAGCTTGGAGAAGGAGAAGATACCAGAAGGTGAGCAGAGCTCCGGGAAAGGAAAAGATAGTAACTCCCTACACAGAAACAGTGTTCACAGAATAATGCCTCCTTGTTTTTTTAAACCCCTATTGTCTTTGTAGTCTTCCCCATTGCTTCAGAGTTACACCCTAATTACCTTGATGTAATGGAGGACTTGGATGAGGAGGTTCAAGGAGAGAAGCATTTCCTCAGCCCCCAGTGTGAGCACGGAAAAGTGAAGAGGATGAGACTGGCACCACCCGAAAGAATTCGTAGTGTTTAGTTGCAGGCTTTGGGAGTTTAGAGTTAGTCTGGCGAGATTCTGTCTAGCAGGTGCAAGCTAATGAGGTAACTGAGCTGTTCCAGTATAGTCTCGTGGAGTTTCTTGGACTGAACCTGACACTCATGGACCTCACTAGGCCCCTACATCCAAGGAAATAAATTGCTGCTGTCTCCAATCATGTCTATATTCCAGCCTGAATAGGTCCATTAAGAAGGACTTTAGCCCCATGCCTCTTTATGCATGTCTCTGAATCCAAAGCAGCCATTAAATCCATCTGCACTTCA